TCGATAGAACCATTGTGTTTCCTTTTGACCTTTCTGCAATCTTCAGCAACCATGGAACTATCGAAAAAGCACTTGAACTCTGGCAAAACACCACTGCGACTCTCGTAGTTTCACTGGAAAAGTCTCGGCCAAACTCTTAGTAGCCCATGTTGCTCAAAAAGCCTTAACACTCTCCAAAAACACTCGCAAGCACGTTGTGAAGGCCCACAACCAGCTCAAGCTCGCCATAGAGCTTTTGAAGGCCTGGGTACTGCAGATTTTGGTAGGGAAACTCTAGCCGAGAAACTCTTGATGGAAGCTCTGGCTCTCTGTCTCTAAAAAACTCTCTTCAACTGTTTTACCTTTCTGTAAAACAGTAAAATGGGGTTTTTCCCCCTTTATACTCAACAGTGCCACAAACTGCCCCTCATAAGTTTGAAATGACACTTCAATCCTCATCTTCAGACAACAATAAGACCAGGCCGGGGTGGGTCAAGCCCGAGACCCGAAGGGGTTATCGTTGTGCACTTCATCCAAGGGTTATTTCTGCTTGCTTCATCAAGGGGCTATCGCCGCCTGCTAGGTCAAGGGGCTATCGCCGCGTGCCTCATCAAGGGGCTATCACTGTGTGCTTCGTCAAGGGGCTATCGCCGCGTACTTCGTCGAGGGCCTATTGCCGTGAGCTTCGTCACGGAGCTATCGTTGTGCGCTCCATGAGAACTTAATGCCGCACGCACGTCACCAAGAGAGGCTATCGCCGAGCACCTCATCAGGGCCTAACGTTGTGCGCACGTCATCTAGGCCTAATGCCACAAGCGCCATCCAAGACTTGGTGCCGTGCGCATGGCATAGCACTCCCATGGGGACCATCATCCTACCTCCTCAGTAAGTTCATTCTCTGCACCACAGCGTCACTCCTCAGGGAGTCGAGTCCCCAATTATGGCTCTATTCCCTCTAGAGTCACATTGTCTCCACACAATGGTCTGTGCTGCATGACCTTAAACTACACATCCATGATCCGTGATGCATGACCTTAAACTACACAGCCATGGTCTGTGCTACATTACCTTAAACTACACAGCCATGGTCTGTGCTGCATGACCTTAAAATGCACAGCCATGGTCCATGCTGCATGACCTTAAACTGCACAGCCATGGTCCGTGCTGCATAACCTTAGACTACACAGTCATGGTCCATGCTGCATGACCTTAAACTGCACAACCATGGTCCATGTTGCATGACTTTAAACCGCACAACCATGGTCCGTTATGCATGACTTTAAACTCCACAGCCATGGTCCAGGTGCACGACCCTAAACTGTATGGTCCAAACTATATGACCTTAAACTATAGCGGAGGTCTAGTTGCACGATCTTAAACTGCATGGTCCTCATTGCATGACTCTAAACTACACGACCAAAGTCCAGCTGTATGACCTTAAACCATAGTGCACGTCTTGGCTGTATGACGTAAAAAAGCTTAGCGTCATGGTCCAAACTACATGACCTTAAACTGTAACGAAGGTCTAGTCGCACGACCTTAAACTGCATGGTCCTAGCTGCATGACTTTAAACTGCATAGCCATGGTCCGAGCTACAAGACCTTAAAACTATAATGCACGGTGTGACAAATAGTCCATACGCGTCACTTTAACCGTGAAATGGACCACTTCCTCTCTAGGTGTATTTCATCAACATATCCTAGTGGAGTTACGTGTATGAAAAACAAGGAGGTCATACTTACCCCTTCAATCCCCAAAGGGTCTGTTTCACACCAATATCCCCAGTAGGAGTCACATCCTATTGCGGCCCACTATCCTTAGGGAGTTAGGGTCATTCTTATCCCTTTAATCCCCAGTGGGGTCGCGTCTGTGCTCTGGCCTTTCTTCTCAGCAGAGTTGTACGCATACCATTACCCGTCATCCTCGAGGAGTCACACTTGCCCTCTTAATCCCTAGCGAAGTTCACTTTTGTTTGCCACTCCTCGTAGGGCCACCATATTCATTTAAAGCTCTTTATAGCCTTAACTGTTTCATCCCTAAGGAGTCAGATTGCTCTCTGCGTAGGGTCACCATCTTCATTTAAAAGCCCCTACCTGTGTATAACCTTAGATATTTTTATCCCCAGGGAGTCATACCACTATCCATAGACCTATCCCCCATGGAGCTTCACCTACGTCGAAACCCACACAATGGTCCAAACTATATGAACTTAAAGTATAATGGAGGTCTAGTTACATGACCTTAAACTCCATGGTCCTAGTTTCATGACTCTAAACTTCATAACCATGGTCCAAGCTATATGACCTTAAACCATAGTGCATGTCCTAGCCGCATGACGTTAAACTTTTTGGCACAGGTCCGGGAGGCATGACCTTAAGGACGCCCCCACATACGCCCACACCCCCTGTATGTGCATTTTCACGCACGCCTTCCCTAACCGACCCATTCATGTGCGCTCACCACCTTCATTGCTTCTCCAGTGAGTCCATTCACTTCATTATTACCATCCATCATTCCCCAGTGAGTTTTTTACCCATGCTCACAAAACGGCGAACCATTCCACCATCCATTCTCGCCGTCAGCTAATGGGTCACCACGTTTTACCCACCATTCATACATCATCCATCTTTCATAGGTAGCCTAGTGTCATATTCCCAAAGTGAGTCAAAACCACCACCATACTCACTCCATGGCCTCCACATAATGCCATTCATCACCACCACGGTCTAACTGTATGACTCTAAACGATAGTGCACGTCCTAACTGCATGACGTTAAAAGGCTTCGCACAAATCTCGAAGGAATGACCTTAAACATGCTTTCACAAAATAACGGGCATGGTGTATACCTGGACAAGGAAACACCATGAGTAAAAATGACGGACGGGCATGGTCATGAAACCATGAGTAAAAGCATTCCATGAAAACAAAAACCTAAGCACGATGAAAACCTCAAAAGGGCACTATGAGAAAAAACAGATGAGAAGGGTGGACATGTCCGCAAGGTCATGAGTAAAAGAGCCCGAAAATAAACGAGGATGGTGAAAACCATATTTAGAGTGCCACTTCCCCAGTCTAGGTGAAAACCCGCAAAGGGCGCTTGGACCAACAAAAAGTAGGTTGAAGCAGAATCACAAATAGTCCCTCGAGGGTGAGGACTTCGATAGATCCCTCAAAAGTCTGTTCTTTCCCTAAAAGTCTCCATGGATGGATTTGTACATTGCTTCCAAATGTTTGAGCACCTTAATTACAGCATTGCGTGGATCTCTTCGACGTTCACATAGTCCTGTGGCTAGCCAAGGGAAAATTTCCAGAATGATTATACTCCTCGCTTCTCTTGAAGCACAACATTCGATGGGGCATGCTGTTGTAAGACATTTTTCATCATCATGGGTCCTCGATACAGAATAAAGGGAGAATGGCTCCATAATTTTTGTAAGACAAACAATGGAAATTATGACAATCTCATAATGGCCCCATAACTAGTCAAGATCTTCATAAAGACCCTTAAAAGTCTCTTACCAAGTTTCGTCACATTCCGACATGTCTAAGGCAGTGCATACTGAGAAACAATTTCGGTAGAATCAACTTTTAGCACCTTGAAATGGATCCCATAACTAGAACTATATTTTCGGTGCATAAAATTGTTATGGGACCATTTTCATTGGATCCAACACGGTTGAAAACTCTTAGAGGTTAAATTTCAGCTTAAACAGACATTTCAAGAAGAAGTATAGGCAAAAGAGAGAAACAGGAGGAGTCACACGCTATTCCCATGTGGCCACCATACAACTCAACTCCATTGAAGGGACAGTCACAAACAGTGACTTTTGATGCTCATATCTCATCCTTCTCGAGTCGGATCATGCTCAAATTTTTTGAGCATGCTCGTCTCGTCAAGACGAGCGTTTCGATATGTGGCATGTCCCTCGATGACACCTGAGCACGAAGAAAAGTTGCTGATCCGTGAATAAAGTTGTAGGAAAATCAACAGTGTCACACCTTGCTCGAGTGGCCAAATCACGTCACTCGCGAGCCAGGTTGACGTGAAACCAGTTCCATTACGTGTGTAAGGTCTAGGGCTATTTTTTGTTTGAACCCCAAACATGATGAACAGTCGAATTTCGAACATGAAGCCGATAAAGTGACTGCAAATTCTAGCACCAGAATTTTAGATTTCGACAAAAATTCCAAAGTTGCAAAATCTTCATCCAGACACGGACTCGAGCTACGTTTGTTGCCATGCGATCGTGACGGCATACCCCATGTCATCCAGCAAAGAAATCATAGAAAAACATTAAGGAACAAGCACATTATTGATCCGAAATTTCAAGATTAATCCAAATTTCAAGTTACATGATCGTGCCCTAAAAACACGATCCATGGCTCGAAGTTGGTATCAAATCGGTCACCATGCCGAGCCCTACAAGAAACCAATCATCTTTCGATCAAACGGGCTTCAGAGTGACCGCATATCATCCATGAAAGATCACGCAAGTTTTAGGGCAGCACATGGACTATTTTGGAATTCTACAGCAATTAGGTTTCATTTGATCAATCGACCCATGTTTCGGCACAATTCTATATATACCACGTACTACCACTGTATGTAGGACCCTTGAATCCTCCACCAAGGAGAATTTTGCTTAGTAAAATTTCTCTTTCTTCTCATTGTTGGGTCACGTTTGGAGAGAGAGAGAAAGGAGAGAGAAATTTTTGGATCGGTACCCCTAGGCTCAAGGTAAATCTTTCTCTGTCTTCTTTTCTTTTCTTTCATTCTCCTCTTCTTTTTCCTCTTCTATCTTTTCTTCTTCTTCTTCTTCTTCTTCTTCTTCTTCTTCTGCTTCTTCTTCTTCATCATCTGAACTCCTCTCAGAGGCCATGCACAGTCGTGGCAATGCCATGCATGCCTCTTTCTTCTCTTTTCTCCCTCCCGTGGTTTCAAAGAAAACACATGGCGATGGCATCACCATGTGCAAACTGCTTGCCCCTTCTGTTCGTTCATCTTTATCTCTTAACAAGGCTCGCAGACGGCGCTACTCATCGCCATACGCAAAGGTATCCTCGACGTCTCAGTGAAGAGCATAGATAGAGAAACTTATTGTCGTCCCTCGGGGATCTCCCCCTGTTGCACGCCGATCGCAGACGACGATGCCAATCACAGACGACGAAGCCAAACGCCGCCTGCGAGGGGTCACGCAACACCTATCGTTGCCTGCGAGGGGTCACGACAACACCAATAGCCGCCCGCGAGCTTCCTTCACGCACTCGGTCCGTACCCCAGTCCGCGAGCTTCCGTCATGTGCTCGGTGCCTAACTCTGCCCACGAGCTTCCTTCGCGCACTCAGTGCCTATCGTCGTCTGCAAGCCTCTTTCGTGCACTCGGTACTCATCGACATTTGTAGGTTCCTCTTATGTCCCATGCCTATCACAGTGTGCCTCAGAAAGAACTATCGCCACACACTTCACAAATGGATATCGTCGTGGGCTTCGTAAGAGATTATCGCCACCCACGCAGAGGTGTGTTGCCTTCTTGTGTCGCCAACGATGACGCGTAACACCACCTATAATTCATTGTTCACCCTCTACACGTGAGCAGTAGTGTACTGCGTCGTCCACGGACCGTGACACTGCTACTCCATGATTGTGGGTGGTGATGCTTAGCGCTGTCTGAACCTCCTTCCCTCGCCATCTCGAGCCTTCTCTTCATTCTCTTCCCTTCTTACTTGACTGAGGGTAGACTCGGTCTAGCCTTGCCATAGCGGTCTGTGTAACAACCTAGATTTTCTCGGCCGAATAGTTTGCATGGCTGGAAAAGGAGGGAAGGAAAGGAGAAGTGCACAGCGATAGGAAGGAGAAGCGCTTGGCGATAGGAAGGAGAAGTGTGTGACGTTAGGAAGGAGAAGAGCGCGGCGGTAGGAAGGAGAAGCACGCGACGATAGGAAGGAGAAGCGTGCGACGAAGGGAAGGAGAAGTACACTGCGATAGGAAGGAGAAGCGCACGGCGATGGTGAAGAACGGGCGGCGATAGGGAGAGCGTACGATGATAGAAGAGAGTGCGGTGGTGTACACATGGCAGTGAGGACGTAACGCCAAGAGTGAATGGGGGGCATCACCGTGTGCGTAACGCCGTGTGCAGCACTGACGTGCATGGGTGGTGTTCTCCACTTGTCAAGCTTTGGGGAAGCTCTCACCCTCACCTTGGAGCAGCCATTGTTGAAGTTGAAGGACTATGGGAAAAGGATAGGAGGACACCATAGTTGTTTTGTAAGTGGATTTCTACCCCTTGCATCAAGTTGTATGAAGCATGAATTTAAGCATGTATGAAGCATGATCTATCCATGAATGAAGCTTGAGTTTAAGCACAAGATGAGACATGAGGCTTTTTAGAAATTGGGTAAAAGAATAAGATAGCATGAATGTATTTTTGCTCTGTTTTTCCAGAAATTTGGCCTTCTTTGTATGAATTGTTAGGCATTGTTATCATTTTTATTGAGCCTAAAATTTTTTGGATGCTCTTGAGAGTCTAGTTTAAGCTAGATTTGGTATCATGCTGTTATCTTGGATGAATTTGAAGCTATGGAATAGTTTTTTGAACATGTCATGCTTGCACTGTGATTTTCTATGGAATTTACTTACTGTTGTGGTGAGATTTTGACTAAGCAAATGATATTCGATTGACCTCAAATTACCACCATTAGAAATTTCTACGAGTCTATTTTGAGTTTGGTGTTTATGACTAATTGAGATTCTTGATAGTTTGAAAGATATACTTTGTTTTATTCATATATATCATTGTTAGCAGACTGTGGTAATTTCTAAGAATATTACTTCTGTTGAACTAATAATTTAACTAAAAAATTGAAGTCCAAACGATGTCAAAACACAACCATTAGAAATATTTCTGAGTTTGTTTCAATGTTCATGTTTTCATCTTGTTTTGATTCTTCATGTATGCCAGTAGGTCATTGTGGACAATTTTAGTAAAACACAAAATCGATGTCTCTGAGGTCACAGAATTTTACTAACCAAAATGTGTCCATTTCTTCCAAACCACTGCCATTTGAACGGTACATAAGTAAGATGCAATTCACATGTTTAGCACTTTTTGAAATCTCCTCTTGATTTCGAGTTATGGATTAATTTTTAAAGACATGTTACTACCTTCACTATCAAGCAGATTTCAGATTTAATGTCTCTATTAGTTTATAATTTTGAGGGGCCAAAAAAGGTTCAATTGCTTTCAAACTACCCCTATTTGAATGAGGACTGTGTCTAGCACAAAAGTTGATTTGGAACTATCTTTAAATTCCGAGTGAATTGAAAGTTATGACCCTATTTATAACTAGGTGTCACGGATTGAAATTGCAGCTGTAACATTGTTATTATGTGACACCGACATCGAGGTTCCGTGACTCTGATAATGTTATCATGCAATACCAATATTGCCACCCTGTGTTTGTTATGTTGGGTTTTTGTTGTATGAATAATGAATACTGTAAAATGTTATATGAACACTAATATCTGACTGCTACGTAATTGGTCCTCCATTGGTAGTAGACCTTCTGTTTCTGTTATATGAACACTGATATCTAGTTGCTATGCAATGGGTCCTCCATTGGTAGTAGACCTTCTGTTTCTGTCATATGAATATTGATATATGACTGCTACGAATGGGTCCTCCATTGGTAGTAGACCTTCTGTTTCTATTATATGAACACTGATATCCGACTGCTACGCAATGGGTCCTCCATTGGTAGTAGACCTTATGTTTCTGTTATATGAATACTGATATCTGACTGCTACGCAAGGGGTCCTCCATTGGTAGTGGAATATACTATACTTGGACTCTTATGATAGGAGTGGGGTTGAGATGTAACTGTAATTAACTGGGAGGGTCGCCCCTCCCAAATTGTCATGGGCACTACGCATTGGGTCCTCCAATGGTAGTGTAATGCCCTCTCGCTTGAGGGCACAAGAGAGGGTCGTGTCTTGCAAGGCCTTAGCCTATCGAAAACCCCAAAGTGCACTGGGGATGTATGTGTGAGTGGGATGCTACAAAGTGAAACCTCCACTTGTCATTATCCTCCCTCCTGAATGACGGTAGAAGTCCCAAGTTTCAGGGTTAGCTTGATCTGATCGACGTGACTTCTACTTTTAGAGTAACTTGTTATGTTATGCTTATCTGAATTCGTCTGTTCTGCTCATTTGAATTCGGTATTCTGTATGAACATCTGACGTTATTTGTGCTATTTACAAAGGTTGATGGCCTCTTGAGAACAAGAAATTCTTTGTTAATTGAATATTACCATCTTTATACAAGATTCACGTATACTCTGATGTGTGACCATACTCAGTGAGAGAAATGTGATTTCTGACAAACCATGAGCATATTATTATGTATTCACTAATAGTCAGGAATGTAAGGGTAGTGATCTACTTATTGAACTTATTGCTCACTCTACTTATTTCATCTGTGTAGAGAGTTAGAGCCTAATCGCGAGTGGCGGGCAGCGTACCGATGATAGCAGATGTTCGGAGTTCAAACTAGTTCAGGATTTTTTCTTGACTTTCTAGGTGTATGGTGGTGTTGCCACGTGTTATTATTTTTTATGTAATATTTTTAAGATGAATGTTAAGCTTGTGAGCCTCAAACCTTATTGTAAAGACTTTTAGAGATGAATGAATTTAATGGTTTTAATTTATTTAGTTTTCTATCGCTTGATGAATGAGTTTTATCTTCTTATTGTGATTTGCTTTGATTCCGCACTTTTAATATGTGTTGATGCCACTCCCATCTGAGTGACGTACGCGACCTTCGGTGGCGATCTCGCACTTTGTCGGCCTCCGGTGGGGGTTAGGGGGCGGGGTCGTGACAATTGTGGTATCAGAGCAGCCAGGTTTGGGTTCTTAGCCTAAGGAGTTTAGAAGTGTCTTCAGAGTAGTTTTGGGTAGATTAGTAACTGAATGTTTGTGTCGTATATTGAAGATGCCGAAGACGAGGGTCAACAATGCCAGCTCTAATAACAAAAGCACTGATGCCCTCAGCGAGTTTGTCAGGACTTTAGGGGCCATGACACAAATGATGAAAGAAGCTATGCCAGCCCCATCTGCCCTTTCCCCTGACTCGAATGATAGTAGCTTGATAGAGAAGTTTAGGAGGTAGGCTCCTCTAACCTTCTTAGGGCTTGGGGGAGTAAAAAAGGCTGAGAGATGGAGAAGATAGGTGAAGAAGATATTCAGAGTTTTAAACTGCATTAATGAGACGCTGAACACTGGTGGGGCTGAGTGAAACAGTCTTGGGAAGAGTCCAGGAAAGAAGTGAGCTAAGAAAATTTTCTAGAAGCCTTCAATGAAAAGTACTTTCCTAATTCAATATAGGAAAGAAAAGGAGTGGAGTTTAACGAGCTGCAACAGGGAAATTTAACTGTAGAACAGTATGCATCCAAGTTTGCTGAGTTGTCAAGGTGCGTCACACATCATCAATACTAAGGAGTGGAAGGCAAATAAGTTTGAGTGAGGCCTTAGGTCAAAAATAAGGGGAAAGGTGATATCAGCGAATCCAAATGTTTTCTCCCCTTTGGGGGACTTAGCCATGAAAATCGATAGGGACTGCGAAGAGTCCTGGGTTGGGGGAAACTGGAAGATTAGACCAATCCAGTTTGGAAACTTGGGGAGAAAAGCTCGACCACCACCAAAGAGGAACTTTAGGGGAGGAGAAAATTAGAGAGGCAAGAAGATTCAGAGAACATTGTCGAGTGATGTAATAGAGAGTCGGCACCCGACATGCCTACACTGTGGGAAAGATAATCACTCGGCGGCTAATTGCCGAAGGAAGACTGGGGCATGCTTTTGATGTGGCAAGCCGGGCCACCAAATTAGAGATTACCCAGTAAGGGGACCTGAGAACCGACCCAAGACTCAAGTTTGGGTGTTTGCTCTCACTAATCAGGAAGATAAGGCATAAACTTCAGTTATCAAAGGTACACTCTCTGTTTGTGGCATTGAAGCTAAAATTCTGGTTGATCCTGGATCTACACACTCTTTTATTGCACCACACTTTGCATGCCACATATGTTAGACCTTCCTTGCTTGACTGGACATTAGTAGTGTGCACACCTATGGGGGAATATATAGAAACTGATACTGCTTATAAACATTGTGGGGTTTTGCTTGAAGGATGTGTACTACCTATAGATTTGATATGGTTAGATATCCAAGACTTTGATGTTATTTTGGGCATGGATTGGCTATCCACACACCATGCTACCGTGGATTGTCGTGAAAGACTGTAACCCTTAGACACCCAAAGTAGCTTGAGTAAAAATTTATTGGTGTCAAGGATGTTTCCTCTCTACATTTTATTTCGACTATTCGAGTTTCCCGATTACTGGCTAAAATATGTGTTGGGTATCTAGCTTACGTAGTGGAAAATCGGGACGACCGGTCTAAGTTAGATGAAATACCAGTAGTGAGAAAATATCCAGAGGTTTTTTCTAAAGAGTTAACCTCTTTGCCCCCTATCAGAGAAATAGAATTTGAGATAGATGTGATCCCTGACACTGCCCCCATCTCTAGATCCTCTTATAGGATGGCCCCAGCTGAACTGAAGAATTTGTAAGAACAATTACAAGAGTTACTGGAGAAGGGTTTCATTCGACCTAGTGTGTCACCTTGGGGTACACCTATACTATTTGTTAAAAATAAAGATGGGTCTTCAAGGTTATGTATAGACTATCGGCAGCTGAACCAGGTCACTATGAAGAATAAATATCCTTTACCTATAATTGATGGACTTTTTTATCAACTCAAAGGGGCCTAGGTATTTTCCAAAGTTGACCTTTGATCAAGTTATCATCAGATACGAGTCAAGGAAGAAGATGTCCCTAATACTGCATTTAGAACTCGCTATGGTCATTACAAGTTTTTAATGATGTCGTTTGGACTAACGAATGCCTCGGTGGTTTTTATGGATCTAATGAACAGGGTACTACATTCAGAACTCGTTATGGTCATTACAAGTTTTTAGTGAGGTCGTTTGGAGTAACGCATGCCCTGGTGGTTTTTATGAATCTAATGAACAGGGTTTTTAGGCCCTTCCTGAATGACTTTGTAGTAGTCTTTATTGATGACATCATGGTGTACTAAAGGAATCGAGAAGAGCGTGAACGACATTTGAGGATGATTCTCCAGATTCTGAAGAGAGAAAAGTTATATGCCAAGTTAGGGAAAAGTGAGTTTTGGCTTCCAAACATGGCCTTTCTTTGACACATTATTTCTAAGGATGGGGTCATAGTAGACCCTTGTAAGATTGAAGCCGTGTTTAAGTGGGGAAGGCCAACAAATGTGACAGAAGTCCGTAGTTTTCTGGGTCTGGCGGAATACTATAGACATTTTGTAGAAGGCTTCTCTAAGATAGCATTTCCCCTTACTCGCCTAACCTAGAAGGAAGTGAAATTCATACGGCCCTAATACTAACCTTACCCAAATGAAACGAAGGCTTTGTGGTCTATACTGATGCTTCCCATAAGGAACTGGGGTGTGTGTTAATGCAGCACGGGCAACTTATAGCCTATGCCTCTAGACAATTAAAGCCGCATGAGCAAAATTACCCAACTCATGACTTAGAGCTCGCGGTCATGGTCTTTGCCTTAAAGGTTTGGAGATACTATCTCTATGGAGCCCAGTTTAAGATATTCATAGACCATAAGAGCCTCAAGTATTTATTTTCTCCAAAGGAATTGAATATGAGACAAAGAAAATGGATGGACCTACTAAATGACTATGACTGCACCATCAATTACCAATCGGGCAAGACAAATGTAGTGGCCGACGCTTTAAGCCGAAAACCCTTGATATCAGTAGCCCATCTGATGGCCCGAGAGAACTGATAGAAGATGCAGTGGAATGGCACCCGACTTTACCCTTTAGTTTTGGGGCCGGAATAATTGCAAGTATAAGAGTGGAACCTCAGCTCTGTCAACAGATTCGGAAAGTACAAGAGACAAACACCTAGCTTATGAAAATCCTAGAAGAATTAAAGCGAGAAAGAAATGATGATTTTCTGTCAGCAGTGATGATTTATTAAGATTTAGAGAACGGGTATGTGTCCCAAATGATGAGAATATTGAGAGGATCATATTATAAGAGGCACACCACTCCCCGTTATACTATACACCCAAGAAGCACAAAAATGTATAAGGATTTAAAGAAGACTTTATGGTGGAATAACATGAAGAGGAAGGTGGAGCAATTTGTTTCTAAATATCTGACCTGTCAGCAAGTAAAAGCTGAGCACCAGAGACCTACTGAACTATTGCAACCTTTGCCTATGCCGGAATGGAAGAGGGAGCATATCGTGATGGATTTTGTATCCGGTTACAAAGATCAGGCACTGAGCATGACAGTGTTTGGGGTATTGTGGACCGATTAACTAAGGTTGAACATTTCTTACCGGTCCGCACTACCTATACCCTTGATAAACTGGCTCGGCTGTATGTCAAGGAGATAGTAAGGCTGCATGGAGTACCTATTAGAATTGTGTCCAACAGGAACTCTATATTTACTTTGAGGTTTTGGAATAGTCTGCAAATAGCCTTGGGGACGAGACTCACTTTTAGTACTGACCATTCAAACCTTAGAAGATATCTTGAAGACCTGTGTTATAGGCTTCAAAGGAAACTGGGATGATCACTTACCTCTGATAGAATTTTCATATAACAATAGTTTCCAGGTCAGTAATCAAATGACACCTTTTGAAGTCCTGTATGAGAGAAAATGCAAATCTCTTGTGTGTTCGGAAGAAGTTTGCGAAAGGAGACTGTTAGGGCCAGAAATTGTTCAAGTGACAGCAAAAACGATTGCCTTAATTCGAGAAAGGCTTAAAACATCTCAGAATTGATAGAAGAGTGTTTGAACCCATTTTTCAACACCTTGGTCCCTGATGCCAACTCAAGAGGAAGCAGGTCAATAAAGCCTACAAAATAAGTGGAAATTTTGATAGTCTCATAATTGCCCCAAAATTGGTTAAGATCTTCATAAAATCTCCAAAAGGCCACCTGTCAAGTTTCATCTTGATCAGACATATTTAAGGCAGTGAACACAAAGAAATAATTTTAGAAAAATCGACCTCTCGCACCCTGAAATGGACCCCGTAACTAGAACTATCTTTTTGGTGCATCAAACAGCAATGGGACTGCTTCCATTGGATCCGACACGGTCGAAAACCCCAATGGGTCAAGTTTTGGCTTAATTGGGTACTGCAAGACAAAGTTATGGGTAAAATATCGAAAATGGTAAGCTGCACACTATTCCTGTGTGGCTACCCTACACCAAAACACCATTAAAGGTGGCTGTTTTTATAGTCACGGTAGTGACTTTTGGGGCCTATATCTCACTCAATCTGAGTCGGATCGCACTCCAATTTGGTGAGCGTGTTCGTCTCATCAGGAGGAGCGATTCAATATGTGGTATGCCCCAAGACGATGCCCGAGCAGGGAGAAAAACTAGAGAGAAGTTGCTGATCTATGAAGAAAGTTGCAGAAAATTCACCAGCAACGTGCCTCACTATGGTGACCAAATCACGACGCTCGCATACCCGATCAGCATGAAACCAATTGCATTACTTACGTGAGGTTCGTGGCTATCTCTAGTCCGA